TTTTTGATGTTTCTGTAACATCCTAAATCAGGGTCAGTGACTAAATTGTAAATTTTGAAAGTTTTGTGTTCAATTTAGAAATGAAATTTAAAAGTCTTGGGATTTAAGTAAAGAATTTTAATATTGGATTAAATAGCAAAGATGGATGAACTAAAGGGGTAAAATGGTCTTTTCATGGGAAAGATTTTTATCTTCATTTTTGAGTATTATAAACGTGGGAAATATGAGAGAGTTCCAGACTTCTCTTCTTCATTCTCTTCTTTTCCACCGTGAAGCCATAAGCAAAGGTAAGTTTCTTCATTAGTTGATTATTTGTTCAACTAAAGGTTTGGTTATGATTATTGGATGATAATTAAGCTTAAGGAAAGCTTAAATCATCTTAAAAACAAAGGATGATGGAATTAGGAGGGATTAAAGATTAAGAGTTTTTGAATGAAATTCGGGAATAGAGTTCTTTACTCAAATTGGAAGATAAATTTGACTTGTCAATGGTTGAATTAAGAGATATGAAGTGATGGAATTGAATTTAGAACAAGAAGAAAAATTAGTGTGATTCTTGAATTCTATGTAGAGAATTAGATTTTGAAGTTAAAGATGTATTGAATGAGTAGTAATGAGTTTAAGCATGTATATGTAAGTTAAGAATAAGAAAGGGGATGATATATGAAGTGTTTGAGAGGAAATGAAGTAATTTTCGTGCTGAAAAATGATTTCTGGGTTAGGGGGAATCGGTACCCATTCAAAGGGGTATCGATACCCTCTCAAACGACAGAATTCCAGAATGTCATGAGGGTATCGATACCCCCAGTAGGGAATCGATACCCCCTAAAGGAAAATTGAAAATATGGGTTTAATATGTTTGTTTAAGTTGATAGTATCCAACTACAAGGTGTAGGTATCTAATAATTGCCTTAAAATGTACATTTATGTAGATTCTGAGCATAAGGCAATTCTGGAACATTTGGCAAGTAAGATCGATCAGGGGAAAGATTAGAGATCGAGATTGACTAGTGAGACCAGGTGAGTGCATATTCAATAGTATATGGTGTGATGAGAATAAGACTTGCGATGAGTCTATTTCCTGAAGTGTTACATATGAATTCATGATTAAAGGCATGAGTTGAATATGAGTGTATGTATGTTTGATTATATGAATTGATATGTTTTGTATGCCATGTGGTTATGTAAAACACGATTAAGTGTTATTAAGAGAATATAAAATAAGTTATGAAATTATAGGAATATAGAAGATAAGTCGAGAGATGTAGGGAAATAGAAATAGATGTTTATTAAGAGTCATAAGAGAACAAATATAAGTAATATGATAATGAAATATAAGACTATGTGAATACATGGTTATGAGATAAAATATGTAATAATAGGAAAATATGATGAAAGTGAGTTTATGAGAAGTGATATGAACTAGGTAAACATGGGTAACAGTATATGAATAATGGAAACATGAGTTGGACAAGTACATAGTGGTATGATTTATTATGAGAATTATAATGGAGCTATATGAAAAGATTATAATGAATATATGAAATTGAATTAAGTAAAGAGATTAAATTAGTACCTAAATAAAAATACTATTAAATGATATATGTTTAGAAATATGACATAATTTATAATCTAAGGGAATACAAAGAAATGGAGCATAAGGTAGATAATATGATATCAGTTATTATATATCTATATGATATATGTCATAAGGTAATATGAAAGGACTCTGAAAATTAATATAAGCTATGAGAAAGTGTTCTAGGTGTTTCTATGTGTTATATGAAGCATATATGATCATATGTTAACAAGATATGATATGTATGTTTATATGAATATCTGAGAAATGATCTAAGATATATGATATGATATATGTGATTATATGCACTTTGGGATATATGTTATATGACATGGATCTATGTAACTACGTGAGAAAGTATATAAGCTATGTGATATGTAAATGTGAATCATATGAAAATGTTCTATGAGTAATTGAACTATGTGTTATATGAAATGATAAGTATAAAAGAAAATGCCCATGTTATGTGTCTTGAGAGCTAGGGGTATAGTTGGCATGCCAAGAGTTGAGGGTCTACGCGGTCCTTCGAGACATATATGTATTCTTTGGAATATGTGTGAAGTCTGGTGAGACACATACTTGATCCTTGGCATATGTATATGATTCTTAAGGAATGATATGTGGTCCTTCGGGACATATATGTATTCTTTGGAACATGTGTGAAGTCTGGTGAGACACATACTTGATCCCTAGTATATGTATATGATTCTTAAGGAATGATATGTGGTCCTTATGGACATTATTATATGGAACTACGGTGCAATTCTACGCGGCACTCCGGTGCAATTCTACGTGGCACTTCGGTGCAATTATACGAGCTGTGGTGACAGTATAGTGCACAACCTCTATAGACTCACATATCTATAGTTCTCACATGTGTACATGGGCTTTGAAAAGAGAACATAATTTGATATAATGATATGTGTATTTCTCGTGACATGGTAGAAGTGCATATATGTCATGGTGATATGAGATGCTATGTGTTTATATATTATATGATTATAGAAATTGGTAATGTATTGTGGTTTATTAAAATATATATAATATGTTTATATTCATTATATGCTCATATGACGGAATTGAAGTAATGACAAGGGAATTAGTAAGGATAAACAGGTTGGTGATATGAGAACAATGTATGTGATATATGTATATGATGTGTGATATGATGTGTGCATGATATGATATATGTGTGATAGGGGTTATGGTATCTGTTACATAATATACATGAATATATGTTGATGTATATGTAAATGAGTTGTATAATTTGATAGCATAAAACAGTCATGCATGATTAGTGGGTATGAATTCCATTAGATGTGTTTTCTTTATGCCTCACTAAGTCATCGACTTAGCGTGTGAGTGTTTCACACGCAGGTTACAGAAAGTGAATATGGAAGCTGTGAGGAGCAATACAAGTCAACATCTCCCTTACAAGGTTTCAGATCAGAAAATAGATGAGTTAAATGATTTTTGTTATTTTGAATATAGTTGGCATGTACTAATTGATTGAGTTAAATATGCTATGATCGATTTTGGTTATTGTGGTCAAATTATGCAACTAAAATGCTTTTACTCTAAGGAAAGTTTTAAATTTTCTTTGAATTTTGTCAAGAGTCAAAGTTTGAAAAGTCAATGTGACACCTCGGACTCGTATCCGGGTCGGGTACGGGTTGGGGGTGTTACAGTTTCGATATTACAAATTAAGTTTAAATGAATTTTAAGATTTTACAAAGGTTTTTATAAGTATATTCGATTCAATTAATCGAATATCAAATTATTACTCAAAGTCTTTCAAGATCAATTTCAAACCTTACTAAATGTGTAAAATTGTGTTTTATACTTAATATATTTTTGAAACAATTTTCACAAAGTATTTTGAACCAAAATCAAGCCTAAAATCAATTTTTCAAAGTGATGCACCAATCCATGCATCGATTCACCATGGAATAAATTGAACATCGAATGCATTTTATGCATCGATACACCTACCATGCATCGATGCACTCTGGCTATTTTGAAACATCGAATGCATTTTATGCATCGTTGCACTCTTAGTGCACCGATGCACTAAGGGTCTAACGGTCAAAATATTTGAATTTTACACTTGATGCACCGATGCACCATGGGTATGCATCGATGCACTAACGCTCCCAACTGCTTTAATTAATTGTTTTCACACTTAAACGACTCTATTGACTCTACTAAGCATCCCCAACGTTCAGAATCATTTGAAGGAGTATTTAAACAAGTTCTGAAGCCATTGATCAACAACAAGAAAGAAGAAATCATTGAGAAACAAGAGAGAAAGCATCAAACATCAAATTTGTGCAAATCAAGCCAAATTTCCTTCAATATTCATTTTTTCTTTCAAGAACACAATTTGTGCTCAGTTGTAATTATCTTTGAGTGTTCTTATCTTGTTCTAGAATTGTGCATACATATTGCCTTGTGAGGTTTTCCTTGTAAGTTTGCGAATTTGTGTATTTCTCTTTGAAAAAGAGTGTGCTCAAGAATTGGGGTATAATTTTTGAGGGAGTTGTAAGGTTACTCTTTGTCCTCAAAAGAAAGAACAAATTAGTGAATTTGTTAAAAAATCCTTAGTGTGGATAGCTAAGGTACGTAGACTTTGGTTGAGAAAGTCGAACCACTCTAAATCGCTATACAACTTCTTTCAATTTTCTGCAAAAGCTTCCACCAAAATTTTAATTATCAATTCACCCCCTCTTGTCCAATTCCATCGATCAATTAACTCAACAGTTATAACGATTAACCTACCATTTAGACTAAACTGTACAGTTAATCGTCCATGATCAGCCCTAGGGATGTAGGGTGGCTTTGTTCCAATTTCCTCTTTCTTGGATGCTTTTTACTGAATCTTATCATTCCAACTAGCAACCCAAAAGACTGAATATTGATAAACTACATTTATTTTCTTGATTCTATTTTAATTATTTAATTTCTTTTTTAAAATAATACCTAACATTACATTTAATTAAACTTATAATCTATAACTATTAGAATGACAGAATGACATTATTTTATAGTGACACATAAACATTATAATTATTTTTTCAATTACGAATGACAACAAAATGTTATGTATAATTTTAAAAAAAACATTTAGATGACCGTAGAACCATAAAAATAAATGAACGACTAAATTCATAATTTACACTAAATACTATATTGGAAGCCCTTGAAATTTTAAGAAGTTATGACCATAGTCCGTGTAATTTATGAATCCATTATAATTATTTTTATTAACTTATATAAGAATTTCAAAATTGAACAAAATTAAAATAGAACATTCCAAATCATATTTGATCCACTCATTTACATACCAAATAAACTGTGGAATCAACGATAATTGTCTCAAAGCATACATCAGTTATGGTAGCCCGCAGCCTAAGAGAATCATATTATCCCTTTGTCCAACCATTGTTGAAAATGCTGCAATAAACATGTGGGCAATAATCATGCATTGAAGAGCTTTCTGAAAGGGCCATCTTTACGGTCCTTGGCGGCTTCGGTTAAAGCAAGGAACCTCTTGAACCCTGTAGTCGCAGCACCACGTCCAAGTGCAGCTGCTCTAGTTAGCACATCTTCCCGAGAAGCTATAAATCCAGCTGCAGCAGGATTCAACATGGCTGGAACTGCAGTCGCAGACGGGGCTTGTGGCATCGTCTGGCTACCTGCTGCTGCTGCACCAGAAGGTTGTGAGATTGCCGGAGACCCTTTGTTGAAGTCATCTAAGATACTTTGTTGGTCCGATTTCTTGAGACCCTGAACACAATTTTCAAATTCTTATTTTCAAAGATATGAAATCATTTAATGGAGTTGTGGACCTATGATCAATTTTACCTTAAGCTCTAGAATACGCTGAAACTCCATTGGTGTTCCCTCTGGGAGCAACGCCCGGTATGTATCCGCAACTGAATCAACAGGAGATAGTATAACCTGTGTAATGACAAGGAACAAACTCGTATCATGATAGATGGCCATAACCTGCTACAATGAAAGCTAGCCTGAATTTTTATCACAAACCTTCAAAAGTGCTTCGGCTTTGCTCATCTCTCGACTTACAAATTTTGAATAGCCAGCAGCACCAGATGTCTTCCAATAGAAGTTAAAGTTTATCAGTTCTTTCGTTTTTGCAAAATAGGAGAATGAATGGTTATAAAAATGATAAAAGGGGATGAATGAAGCCATCATGATTCATGCAGATGGAAACGAAAGCATACAAAACATTAATTTACAGACAAGGTAACTTCATGATCAAAATTGCAAAACAAATGTAGAGATGAAATAAAGGAATGCAAACCATTCAATAACTTAGCTGTAACAAGTATGATATCATGAAAACTGCACCACTCCACAACTAAAGAGTGATGAAGCTTCATTGAAAACAGAGATGCAAAACCATGACTTATGTCAGTAATATTAAGAGCCAACTGCAGCATCAAATGTGACATTTTTAAGGTAAAATGCCACAATTTATTTAACGGATAGCATCGAATCTGAAAATTACTACAATTAGGAGCAAGAAATCAGAAAATGATATCCTTAAACCTTCACCTAAAAATCTGAAAATTTCCTAAATTGATGAACCGTCAACAGACTGTATAACTCACCTGTCGACCAAGGGAGGGAATTTCCAAAAGAATTGTCTTTACAGCTTGAGTATCCAACAGCATCTGCAATACAATTGTACCATTAATTTATACATTAATATGTTCCAGGATCAATTATTCCGAACTCTATTGTTAGTAATTGCATTCAATCACTTTCAAAAGTTGATACATGATCGTTACAAGTAATTGCAAATGAGTTAACATCTCAAATGATGATATTCACCAAAAGTTGATACATGTAGAGTTACTAGAGACAATGCCGATATTAGTTATACTTAAACACAGGAATAGAATACTAGCAGAAACTGAGGAACAAAATGTGAAAACTAAAAAGTACTTGTTGGGCTCCTGTTTCTGATATCTGCTTGCATTTGAAAATGTTCAGGTAGAACCGGGGGCCAAGTGATGATGCAAGCTGCAAGAACAAACAATAAGCAAGTTGCACCGAATAGCTATCTACAAAAGTAAATAGTAAGAGTTAACCATGTTAAGAGGGCCCATTTTTCTTGTATTTACCTTGTCCAAGAAGAACTGGAAGTAAATAGGCGAAAGAAGGCTCCCAAGTGCAGGAATACTGCTGCTAAGGATCATATTTATGCCATTGACATATCTGCAACAAGACAATGATATAGCGTTTAAACCTTGACACTAGCCTTGGTGAAATTAAATCATAAAAGGAATGCATCTTACCCTGATTGGTCCCCAACACTTTCAAGGGTACCCCATGGAACCCGGGTCATAGCAGCCATTTCAGCATCAAATTTAGTTTCCAGGCCATGCACCAAGGTTACTAAAGATTTGGTTATAACTGCTGAAAATTCATCCTGTAAAATTGCAAGACCTTGTAGAATTCAACAAAAATAATTGCTGAAAAATGAATTAATTATGAAGCAAGCAGTACCTGTACTTCAGACATATCCACCTGGTCTGCATATTGAGTATCAATGATTTTGGCTACACTTTCAGCCAGTTCACCGGACTGTTATAAAAATAAAACTTGGATTACTAAAACTCTGAAATCAGTTATGATTATAAATGTAAGCATGAATTTAAGTTTGTAGTATATAAGAATAACAGCTCAGTCAACAACTGCCTGTCATTGGCCAAAAGAAAAAAATAACCGTCTGCTAGAAATACAAAAAATTGTTAGTTTAGGAAAAGAAAAGTAACTGATAGATTATGATCCTATTAAATAGGCGAAGAAAAATGGAACCACGTCAAAATTAAAAACTGATGCATAACCACTGTGGTCTTCTTCACACACGCATTAGCTATGGTGCAGTTTTATCATGCTTATACTAAGCAAAACAGACATCAAAGTTCCAGATCTAGTTCACCCATAACATATCACAAAGAAAGCCAATACCCTTTACTTCCTATTGTACCAGTAATTGCTTAACGTGAATGATGGGTATGGCATGCCTGTAGAAACCGAGAATTTGTGACACAGATCAAGATGATTCTCTGGTAAATTTCTTAATTCGAATAGAGTTGCAAGTCTCCTTTAAATAGACTAAATACATAGAGTTCCAGACATACAGTACAAGTAAAATTACTATTTTTTTTGATAGAAGATGAGGCCTCATAAAAAACCTCCTTTTTACCCTCCATGTTATGAAAGTAACCTGAAGGATAATGAAAGGAGGAAAAGAGCGCCTATAATTGTATTAAACAGAAGAAAAGTACATTACCCACTCTTACAACAAAATAAACCTTCCCAGAAAGCATAAGACTTAAAAACCACTATCAGCTGGAAAACGTAGACACAAATTACATAATACTGAGAACAAAAACCTGCAGAAACAAAATGAAACATACACTCCAACTCCTCAAATACAAAGGCAGCTAATCAACCAATACCATCTTTAGCTAAACTGTCCGCTTCCCAATTGGCAGCCCTCAAGATTAGCCTTAACATAATATCCTTCCCTTCCATAATAGAGACGATCTCCTTCACCAATGATTGGAATAAAGGGGTGCTTAATTCCGGATTTTTAATCCACTTCAGCGCGTTAGTAGAGTCCGATTCTAAAATAATCCTCTGATTAAGAACCTCACCTGAATCAATAAGCAAACACAACCCTCTCTTAATCGCCAAAAGTTCTGCCATAATCGGAGGACCACCACCAACCTTTTTAGAAAACCAATGAATCAACCTACCACTGCTGTCCCTAATCAGACCTCCTATACCTCCTTTGTTCCACCCCTTCACCATCGCTCCATCAACATTAATCTTAATAAAACCAACTGGAGGAGGAACCCAGCAAGACGGTTTGGATCTTGCTTTGTGACTAACCATTAAATCAGCAAGTGTTAAATCACCCACAAGCGAGTCGAAAGGAATCAGCATATCAAAATTAGCAGCAAACCAAGAAACTATTCTGAAACGAGCAATAAAGAACAACAACACCACATCTAGCTTCCCATTCTTAAAAATATCCTCGTTCCTGATTTTCCACACCGTCCACAAGACCGCCCTTGGAATGAATTTCCAAATACTAGAGTTCGGAAGGAGCTCATCCCATTGAGTGATACAATCTAAGGGATTATTAGGAATCACCCAAGCAACATCCCACATATTCAAAAGTCTGGCCCACAATCCCCAAGCAACCTCACAATGCAGAAAAAGATGAGAAACAGTTTCCCCAAATCTGCCACACAACAGACATAAGGAATCTTCAATTCCAGCCACACCACGCTTAAACAGTTCCTCCTTAACCGCCACTCTCAGATGAACTACTTGCCATAAGAAGGTTTCAACACGAGGAGGGGCTATCCCTACCCAAATTTTCCTGTCCCAAACATCTTGATTCCCCTCAGTACCTTCCGAGCCATGGAAAATTTTTATACAAGAATTCGTAGAGAAACAACCCTCTCCATTCCCTAACCAAATCCAGCAATCTTCCTCATCATGAGACAAAGAGGTGTTATTCAGCATAGAAATCAGATGCAACCATTGGTCAATCTCCCAATCCGCCAGATTCCTTCTGAATTGAATATCCCACACCCATCCTGCAACTTGTTCCTCCCTAAACTCCACTACTTTCCCCTCTTTATTCGTTGAAAGAGCATATAGTCTAGGGAACAGAACTTTAAGTGGGACTTCTCCCAACCAAACATCATTCCAAAATACCACAGAACGGCCATTTCCAGTTTTCCACCGCAAATTACTCCTAATGCAGTCACCAAACTCATCATTGGAAAAGAAGTTATTAATCAATCACTCCTCTCCAAATCCAAGATGCACGAGCAGTCAAAGAATTCTCTACCATTTTGGAGTTCAGGTCCAAATTATTCACACAGCAAACAACTCTCTTCCACCAAGAATCCTTTTCAGAGGCAAACTTCCATACCCATTTACCCAACAATGCTCTGTTCAATATAGCTAAGTTCGGGATCCCAAGACCCCCCAACCTTCTCGGTTTGCTGACCAATCCCCAGTTCACCCAATGTATGTTTTTTTTATCAATCGACCCCCCCCATAAAAAGGCAGCCATTATAGAATTTAATTTCTGCAGCACCGAAGCTGGAATTCGAAATAAAGAAAGGAAATAAGTGGGGAGAGAGCACAAAACAGATTTGATCAACACCACCCTCCCTGCTAATGCTAGAGAATTTGCCTTCCAACCAGACAACCTATTATAGAAATTCTGCACGATTGGCTCCCACATTGCAATAGAGTTTCTCTTAGACCCCATAGGCAAGCCTAAATAGTAAAATTACTATAGATAGAATTCTATCCTATTAAGAGATGAGAGTTATAGGATATCTAAACTACTTAGTTATTAACAGTAAACCCAAGTCTATTTACCGTCTACAGTCTACAATCTACAATGGAAATAGAAACATGGACGACGAGTAACATGGTAGTAGTACATTTCAATTTTTGTAACCAGGGAAGCCATAATTAGAGAAACTGACCGTTTTATGGCAATATTCAGCTGAATTTACAATATAGCATATCACCCTTTCGTCCCTATCAGATGTCTGTCAAATGTTGCCCATAAATGCAAAATAAACATTAGCATTTGGTATAGAGAACAGGTGATTTCAACAAACATATCAAAGGTTGGCACAATGAGACTATACCTTTATCTGCCCATCCATACCAGTGGCTGCAGCAACAATCCCTGTACCACCCTTAGGCAGTCTTGCAAAAAGCTTTGTAGCATAGGCTTTGAGAACTCTTTGAAACACCTAAGGATGGAAAGATAAGTTAAGATTGCATTAATCAACCACCTCATTGGATTCTAAAGATTCATTTGTATATAGTTCTTGACAGGTAAGAGTTTAATCTAACTGATAAATCACCTACAGAAATTTCTTCTACAATAGAAATCACGCATGTAAGGATCTTGCATCTATGGCGACTTCTTCCACTACTTTCCAATACACTAATAATCACCATTCAAATGTGTAGGACCCATCCATGAACTGTAGAAGGCATACTTGTGAATGGTGATTAAACTTGTATCGATAGTAATAGATAGTTATGGTTGGTTCAGTACTAAGAATGATCTGGTTGGCCAGTTGGCCTTCTTGATAAGTGAGGGTTTTATTGTCATATCCAGCAAAATGTAAGCCAAAGATCAAGGAATCCACATGTCCCATCCATTTGAATTTATGAACCGTCCCAAGCTTTGATTATTATTGAATATATTAGTTTCATGCTAAAATCGAATAAATGTTACTGCGATGCAAGAAAAAACTGAATTTCAAGAAAATACCTTGAATAAATTATATAAAGTCTGGCTCTTTGTCAGAGCACTGCATCGCTTTAGGCTCCTCTTGATTATAAGAAACAACTAGCAAAAGAAATACATTATCAACTTTCATATAAGCACGTAGTTTCTATAAAAAAAACAGTGTACCCACTGTATAAAACTAGCAAAGACTTGATTTGTAAGAAGAAAAATACTTGGCATTGTTTTACTTGGAAAAGATGGATCAATATGCAGATAAGTTGGAATATATTGTTTCTTACCTGCATACTACTGGAAAGTACATTATTTTGACTTCCTTCCTCAACATCCCATGTTTCTTCCTGTCATAACATCAACGATTGAATGAAATATAAGCACCAAAAAGACCAACAGAGAGTATTAAGTGAAGAAGGATCGATATTATGCCCAAACTACCTGAACAAGTTTCTCAAGGTTCTCCATCAGTGTCTTTTCCTCTAATTCTATATATACAGTCAAGTGAGGCTCAAAGCAAGATGAAATAATCCCATGGAAGTTGAACTGCCAGGAAATTTGAGTTAAAAACCATTTCATTAGCAAAATTATAGGATGAAAGCTGTAAGACAAAAACTATGGTGTAACGCAAAAATAAAATGGAAAATATGTTTTCCAACATGCTAAATTAGAAAAATCATAGGCAAATACTCTTTCTGAGAATTTAAATCAATGCGTGAAATTAGAAAACTTCTTAGTTATAGCACATTCAAACTACAATACAACAAAACAACCATGAGAAGGCAATTACATTGGACTACTTTAAAATAGACAGTGACAAATGACTCCGGTATTTCAATAAGACCCATAAAGACATTCTAATGAGATGATGTGCATGCCTCAGGATAAAACTGGTTTTACAGAAAAACATGTAGGCACCACCAATAAACAAATTCTTTAGGCACCAATTGCCATCCACTTTCTCAAGGAAATACAAAAGATCTCAGGTGAGACATATTACTGAAGTCATCAAATTTCCAATATGAAGTTTCTTCCTTTGGTGCATAAACTCTGCATTTGACTCAGGCCAGTTCTATGACTGAACTACATGTAAAAACACTCTTACAGAAGTTTAAAATTTTACCCCAGCTCCAGGTGCAGACAAATCTTTGTTTCCATCTTTTTCCTGTAAACAAAATGTCACAAGAGAAAATTGATAACATAATTATGTAACTCTCTAGCAGAAAGATTTTCCTATAACAAAGAGAAGTGATCATAGTGTGGAGCTTACTTCATTTTCACTTCCTTGATGTGCAGCAAGTTTTTTCTCATACTTCTTTCTAACATCAGACGCACTTTGACTATTACTCTGCCTACCAATCTCTTCAATTTCGTTTCCAATCTCTCTACTCTGAGTACCACCACCAAATTTTTCAGCCAGTTCATCCTCAAATTCTATAGTTCTCTGCAATGCCTGCACAATCCAAAGCATAAGAAACTACATATGTAAAACTGGCAAGCGGAAACTCACTGGTAAGGAAATATGGAATAGAAATTTACCAAACTACATCATCATATGATTGTTCCAAAAACATAAAAATAAGGTAAATGACCAGAGAGGTAATAATGATCATATAATCCACCCTAGAAGAAACTATCCTAGGCTGAGATTGACTATAATCAGCAAAACTGTATCAGGAAAATTTTGCAGACCTTTCCCAGTAATGAAAAATAATAAAATACTCTCTCTAGCCCTCTTCCCTGTCATCAATTTTGTACGAAAAATCAGCACTATAATCAGCATTGCAATGTATAATCAAAAACAAGGAGCAAGTTTATAGTGGCTTCTATGGCAAAGTAATTTTTATTAAAAGAAAATATAAAACAAATAATTAGTGCTAAATAGCAATGCAGTGACCGAGCTTTGATCCTTGATAATGTACCCAAACTAATCGCAATGAGCGTCAAACAAACTAAAGTATGATACCACTTTCAACTTAAACTGAAGGTTTAAGAGTATTTTTGCAAGACTCTTTCTGAAGATCTCGAAAATATGGCTTACCATCAACAATGTTGCAACATCAGGCTTCTCTTTCATGTTGTCAAGGATCCCCTCCAATTGTTTCCTGGAAGTAAAATCCCAAGTAAGATGGTCTAAATCATTTATAATATTATCCTGCAACTCTCTGCCCACTTTGTACAAACAATAAATAATTCATTAGTAGTATAATTTGGCATCATCTCGTTAAGTCCTTTTCACACACAAAAAAAGAAAATAGTTGAAAAACTCTTTTTTCCATTTATTTACTCAGAAGATAGGTTTCCAGAATTTTTTCTAGAGAAGAAAAATTAGAATATTAACTTGACCACTATTTAAGGGAAGAAAAAGTTCCAGATGCTTGAAAATGTTGCTTCAATTAAATAAAGAATGAATATATATAAGTTATTGAACCAACCTAAAAGAACATTTTTGTACATAATTAATGAAATTTATGCTGTCCTAGATAATGCATACCTTGTCTTCTTACAGAACTGGATACAGAGACGATAAGGGACAAGCCATGAAGTAGGGAATATTTTCCAAATCTCCTCGTTTGTTCTCATTCGACGCTTGATCCATGCATATCTTCGTTCTGTTTTATCCAGTTTAGCTAGTTCTAATTAGAGAGAAAAATCAAGACTCAGAATCACAAAAACTTTGTGAAAGCTTAATGCATAAAGAATATATAAAAGATGGGTGGATGGAGCCACACAAACCAGCTCCTTCAAAGATCTGTTCATATGAAGTAAGCTCCCTGCTGCAAAAGTTATTTACTAACTCTTCTCTCACAGATGGTTCCAAAGCATCGACAACTAAACAAGCATCAGATAAGTGCTGCAGCAAATTTGTCTCTTCGGACTCTTTGCCAGTTCCTAAACTGCAAATAAAACGTAAGGTAGATTTAAAACATTAATTTAGTGGAAAGAATGAACAGCTGTAACTACATAAACACAAGATCATTCTTATTTGATTGTACAGGAAGTCTATGGTTCTCTAACCCTCCCCCAACAAAAAAAACCACCATTGCACCACCCCCTACATCATGAGATATTCTTCCAAAACAACATTTAAAAAGATAAGATTAACAAAATAAAAGATTACCTTTTAGCAAAGTTCAGCAATAAAGTCAACAAATACCTATAGAAGTTATAGTACCATGCATACAAAACCAATTTTGTTCGACTTATTTAATTTTTTATTTCATCTGCTTAATACTAATTGAGAAACTTGCAGACTTTCCAAAGTATAAGTTCCATATTTCATCTCTAAAGGACTGCATCAGGGCTGTTCCTTATCCCCGTTGCTTTTTAATTTGGTTGGCGAGTTGTTAAATTTGTTGCTTGCTAAAGCAATGAAGGTTGGGCTGTTCAGAGGATTTGAGTTAGGTAATCAAGAGCGTTCCTTTATGCTGTCGCATTTGCAATTTGAGGACGATCTCATAATTTTCTGCAATGCCTCATTAGGGGAACTGAAGAATGTAAGAAGGGTGTTATCAATCTTTGAAATGATGGCAGGTTGCAGTTAAATTTAACAAAGCAGAATTTTGGGCATAAACGTTGATCCAGAGTTTATAAAAGATTGGGCTAATGTTATTGGTTGCTCGGTGGGTTCATTTCCGTCCGAGTATCTTGGTTTACCTCTGGGGGCTAAGAGGAATTCGGTGGCTATGTGGGAGTCAATTGTTCAAAGATTTTATAAAAAGCTGGCTGGTTAGAAGGTATTGTCTTTGTCCTTAGCCGGAAGGGTGGTATTGGTGAAATCAGTGTTGTATGCTCTCCCTATCTACTTCCTTTCTATCTTCCGATTACCAATATGTGTTTTTGAATAAGTTAAACTCCATAATGGCAGCTTTTCTTTGGGGGGGGTCGGCAGATAAGAGAAATATTCATTGGGTAAATTGGGTTTCGGTGTGTAGGCCTAAGAACTTGGGGGGGGGGGTTTAGGAATTCCTAACTAGACCTATTAAATAGAGCTCTTTTCGAGAAATGGCTGTGGAAATTTGTCTATGAAAAAGAATCGTGGTGGAAAAGGGTTGTATGTTGTGTTAATAATTTGGATACGAATGCAAGTATGGTAGATAGTTCGATTTCCTCTCGTGCTTCGTGGATTTGGAAAGGGGTGGTAAAAAATTTCTATTCAAACGATGATTTTGGAGGAAGTTTTAGAAATAATATGCAATTAAGAGTCGATAATGGTGAGTCTGTTTTGTTTTGGCATGACATTTGGTTGGATTTGATTCCATTAAAAGACAGTTTCCGATGTTATTCGCTCTATCGGTTAACAAAGGGGGCAGAGTTGCTATTTCAGGAAAAATACTTCATCGGGATGGTTTTGGGACTTACAAATGAGAAGGAACCTTGCCGGTTGGGAGTTGGACCAATGGCTCGTGCTTAATTCGATGTTGAGTAACTCTTTATTGTCACCTTCGGCAGAGGACTGCTGGGTTTGGACAAGGAATGGGGAGGGCTGTTTTTCAGACAAGTCGTGTATTAGGAAATTTTTTGAGATGTCGGTTGCTAATCCTATTTGGGTCAGACACGTTTGGTTAGGTGTAGCTCCGCCTCGAGTGGAAACTTTCGTCTGGCAGGTCGTTCATCAAAGATTTTTTTTTGATAGAAGTTGGAGGTCTCATTAAAAAACTCCCTTCGTATTCTTCCACATACTTAGGAGTATGTTGAAGAACATTGGAAGGGAGAAAAGAGTACCTCATATTTTATTAAATAGTAAACCAAGTACAATTGGTAACACCGATCCCTCATACGGGAATATATGCCATTACAAACCAAAAACCTAGAAATCTTACATCTTAAAACAAAACGACCTAAGACAAACCCTATCTCTAAAAAACACCTCAAGATATAAGATAACATAGCCAAATAAAAACCAACAATTACAACCCCAAACTAGAAAACACCTCTGAATACTGCTGCCGAAACATCACAATCCAATAGGAGGAATAAGATCAAATGAAATAACGCAATCTTCAGGGACCCAAGAATTAGGTTTGAAGGAAGGATCAACTTCATGTACCAAGACATTGAATGAACTATCACCGACCTTCAACTCCAACAACTCATCAATTCTCCCTTTATCATTTGTGAGTATTTGAATTTTAGCCCTATCAAAGGACGATGGAAACTCACAACTGTTGTCAATTGCTATTAACTTGCCCCACTTAGTTGCGATGTTTATGAAAGTATCCCAATTCCAAGCGTGAAAAGGGATACCTTCGCAAACCAATCACACGCGCCTGCACTCCACCAATAGGCTCTCTGACCAAGTTTCCACTCTGGAAAACCATTCTGCAAGCATCTCTAACTTATCATCCTTCACGCTTCTCATCGAATCAGAGTCTTTAAAAACCATGAGAATTACATTACTAGCAGCTCTCATCAGCGTGAAACCAATTAATCCTTTTGCTTGTATTTGGTTAGCAAGATTACCAATTTTAATAAAATTCTTGCACCATCCCACAAGACAATTGCTCAACACTTGTAGTTTATCATCGTCCACTACGCCCTCAACTTTAAAGAGTTTATTCCTCGGAGTAACATCTCTCCTAGACTTACTATGAACAACTGTCGAGGCCTTCCTCCAGAAAGACTGTCGGGGTTTATATTTAGCCAGAGAGACACTAACTTTGCAACCGTAAAAATAATTACCATTCATCTTAGATATCGCTATCCTGGTTTCTTCAATTGTTGCATAGCGAATAAACCCAAAACGAACCCCTTTCGAGTTTCTTTTTTTTAGGAATGAAGGCATCAATAACTTGACCATGTGTGCCAAAAATAGACCCAAGTCTCTTCCAATGGATTGTCTCTGGAAGGTTTTCAATAAAAATCGTGAAACAACCATTTATGACCCCATTTCCGATTCTTGGATGACCATCCATCGACAAATTTTGGAACCCATTTCTTCTCCTCCTTGAAACTTCGGGAAACTTTTCAAAGGAGAGGCCTTTCATGTCGCTCTCCTTGGTTCCGTCTTCAATATCAACGATAGGAAGAGCTGGAGATACCCGAACTAAAGAATTCTTTCCTGCCTTTTGTCTCCCTCCAAGAGAAGAAGACAATCCGATGTCAATATTTGCAGCAGACTTTTCAACACAACCCCCAGAATTATCAGGCACATGAAAACTTGGAAACGCTACTGGAGCTGAATTCGACAATGGCAAAACAGGAGGAACAGGATAATATTCTCTACCTATTCCTCTTTTAACAACCAGATTCTTCTTTGCCATCTCAATATGCAAAAAAGACTTCAACTTGATATCGAAAACCATCTCCTGAAGGGCAACCTTGGCAGCAACTGCAAATTTGACATTAGAGAAAAGAGCAAAAGCCTTAGGCTTTTCACCCTTATAGCTCACTTGCGAGACTTCATAACCAGGAAGCCATCTCAACAAATTTTGCAGCTCTCTCTCTTTGACATCTTCAGGCAAACCCGAAATGAAGATAGTACGAACCTTGTCTTGATGAGAATGATGAGATATTGGAGAAGACGATGCTGCGGATGGCGGCGGAGCATGGACTGATGGTCTTTGCTGGTGACAAGGATCGATTCCAACACCCTCCATATAATGAAAACCCAGTGACCTGACAAGAAATCCCGGCCGCTAGTCCGGCGAAAATATGCTGTGACTTCAACGAAACCGTCAAAATAAAACGGGATCGTGAAATATGTGATGCCGGCGAAGAAGAGAAGGACGGAAATGATGAAGAGAGTCCGACTGTCGGATCTTAGCCGGTCAAAGGCAGAAAAACGGAGAAAGGCAGCGACGCTAGGATAGATGGGAATAGATCGCGATTGTACGACGAGCCCGGTGATATGACGGTGAACCTTCGACGGCCGGAGGCGAGAGTAGGTGAAGGACGGCGTTTAGATCTGTGCCGAATGGATTATTTTCTTGTAAATCTAATCTCAAAAATGAAATCAGAGTGAGGAAACGATCTTTCTGGGTAAAAATGGCGGCGAACGGATGACGGAATGTGGCGGCGGACGGCAGAAGTTGGACTGTAGACGGCAGACGTTGTACAGTAGACGGCGAACGCGATGTATAAAGATGGCGGGCGGTGATGGTTGAGATGAGATGAAATGATGGATGAAAAAAAACAAAAAGCACCTTGAACCAAGAGAGAAGCGGGAGCTTCTCTCACTAGGTTTATTTTGCAGTAGAGTTGGTTCCTATTTCGTTCATCAAAGATTAACAGTTAAAGAGGAGTTGTTGAAGTGTGGAGTTGCAGGGATCGCGGATCCACTTTGACCGTTGTGTGGCAAGTTTTTGGAGTTTGTTTCCCACTTATTTGTGCATTGTAATGTGGTTTGGGGAATATGGTCTAGATTTTTACACTTTTGGAACGTTTCATTTGTTGTTCCGGAGAGTCTGGCTGCTTTGATCTCTGTTTGGGCAGATCTAGTTCCGCGCTCGACTATTTGGACTTTCATTCCAAGGGCAGTAATGTGGTCGGTTTGGAAGTGTAGGAATGAGATTATTTTTGAGAAAGGAAAGTTGGACTCAACGCTGTTATTTTTTCTTGTAAGATATAGGATTGCAGCATGGTTTGTAGCTAGATTTCCGGAATTGGTAATTTCTTTTGAATCTTTAGTGGGTGATCCAGAAGTAGCAGATTCTGCTGTGAGTTCTAAGGTCAGTTCTTCCTTGGCGCACTGGGTTCCTCCTCCTTCAGGCTTCTTCAAAGTCAATGTGGACGGTGCTATGGTTAAGGGGTAGTCAAGAGGAGGTATTGGTGGTTTGCTCAGGGACAGTGACAGTGTGCTGCTGTGTTCATTCTCAGAAAGTGTTGGTCCTAGACCTCTTATCCTTGCTGAATTATTGGCTATTAAAAGGGGTCTGTTTTTATTTGTGAAGACCGGTTTTGATTCAAGGAGGAGCCTTATTCTAGAATCGGATTGTTCTATTGCTTTGGAGTGGATAAAAATTCTGGGTTGTTGCACTTCGTTGTTCGAGTCATTGGTTAAAGATATTGCTGCTTTATTGGTTGAATAGGATGTTATCGTTAGGCATATTTTGAGATCCGCCAATTGGGTGATTCTTGTGTTCTCGGGTCTGGGTGATTATGTTAGGTTCTGGGTGTTATGCTGGTTGTTTAAGTGTAGGTTTGTATGTTTTGGTCAGTTTTGGGTTGAGGTGTATTCTGGCTGTTATTGTTTGTATTGTAGTGGTATTGTACTTAGTATTATATCAATAAAATTTTGAGGCGCTCTTTTCCTCCTTCCAATGTCTGTTAAGCTACTTCTGTAGTTTGAAGGTTATGAAGGGGTTTTTTAACGAGGCCTCATATTTTTATCAAAAAAATAAAATATTTTGTCATTTCTACAAATGGATAACCACTTTAGTTCTATTTTATTAATTTCACTGAACTTGCTTAATCAGCATCAAGTATTTGCAACATCTCAATAACTATATTGATGATTAGCTTCTAAATTAGCTTCTTATAGTATCATACCAAAGAAAGACAGCATCAAATTTATATGCCAAATACCTTGAGAAATCAGAGAAGACATGAGATTTTAGTATTTGTTTAATATTCTTAAACTTCTCCCTCAGCTCTGTGATTTTTGGAATATCCCTGTAGGCTTCAAAATGACTGCATAACTGGTTTACAGCCTGAAATGCATGATAAATTTGACTCCTTAAGATAAATTGGATTTCATAAGGGCGATGAAAAGCAAACTTCAGAAAAGAAAAGAAACAAAGAAGCAAAAAGGACCCCTTCTAGGAAATAATTACTATGATAATTACTTGGTACAAAAGAAACTACCCTAGAGAAAGGGCACTAATGAAACTAGAGCAACCATGTTGATCGAGGTAAAAGAATCTCTAAGCAAAGACGTCTTATATTGACGCATTTTGTAGATTATAGCCGTATAAAGTCCTAATGAGTCTGGAATTAGTGTCCTAATGTGTCTGTAATTAAGTTTTATTTATTATTTGGCCTGTACTCTATAACCGATTTAAGTAGAAGATTAGATAGAATGTTGAATAGATAAGTTAACTGCTAACAGAACTCTAAGCATCTTAGTAAGATTGTATTTCTATTGTAATCTGCCTATCCTAACATGCCTTAACTTGTTTATATGACAGCAAGAAAAATCAGAGAACAAACCTCTATGTTCCAGAAATTCCTTCCTTTGTTTCCTAGTTTCTACATGGTATCAGACTAAGCTCATTCAAAACCTACTCAACGATAAATCAATCAACCTCCTCATCGGAAGTCAGTTCATGATCTGAACAAAATCCCTCCCAAAACATCATTGTTGATACCTCACCCATCCCCATCACCTGCCACAAACTAAATGGCCAACTACCTTCCCTGGTCATAATCAGTCATGCTAGACAGAGGCGAGGATGACTATTTATCAGCAACAATATCCATATCAAGACCCACAGATAAAAAATATAGACAGTGGAGAAGTGAAAACATCAAAAAACTATTTGAAATTGAAGCAACTCGAATATCTACAGCAAGAGGACACGACTACTATTCAATATTTCAACACAATGACAAACTACTGGCAGTAAATTGATTTATTTGATACTAATGCTTGGAAATGTACTGATGATGCAGCATCATACAAAAAGCTTACTACCCAAAAGAGGATTTTTAAATTTCTGTTTGGTCTCAACAAGGAACTTGATGAGGTAAGGGGAAGAATTAGATTACAATAGAAACTTGATAAGTTAACTCCTAATAGGATTCTAAGTTAGTATCTTAGATTAGGATTGTATTTTTGTTGTTATCTGCCAATTTAAATAGGCCTTACCTTGTGTATTCAATGGAAACAAAAATCAGAGAACAAACTTCTCTGTTCCATAAATTCCTTCCTTTATTTCTTAGTTTCTATACATTTATCTAGTGCCATCCAGAATGCCCTGTATTTTCAGTTTTCCTTCTTATAGAAAATTCTTGACATAAGGAGTATTGTCCACATTAGACTTTTGATGAAAATCTGAAACCTAAGATAAATTTAACTCCTCCAAAACACCAAAAACAGAAGAGAGGGAAAATGCAGAAGAATAAGCCAGCGAGAAAGTGAAGTGTTCCATCTTCCTTCAATGATATGGCCATGGGTGGATTCAGCAATTTGACAAGGCATGGCAAAATTATTTTCACCAAAAACCATAAATATTCAGTCATTTCTACTAGCCATCAATCTCAAACCAAAACTCAAAAGAAATGAAATAGTTTTGGCACGAATTGAAGTAGATCACTAATAAGTAGAGTATTTTCAAATTTCAATTACAAAACACCTCCTACCTTCTGAAGAGATGGCAAACACACTATACATTCAGAAATGACATACCTCTAACTGGGCAGCTGCCTCCTTATATTGTCGTTTTGAAGCCATAATTTGAAGTTGCTCTACAGCGGAGACTGCCATGGCATGAAAAAGGTACTAATATCAAAAGCCATGCTGTTTTAAATGCTAATAGCTGAAGTCAGCCAAATGGTTACAACCAATATAATCTTCAGTAAGCATATTTTACTACAGATCACTAACTACAATACCAAGACTTGGGTGATGTTCCTTGTATCATTCAAGCACAGATAGCGAAGACCCCAAAAAACGACTGACCTAGCATGGTTAGACGATGAAGAGCTGTGATTGTAGTGGTTATATGCTTCTTAGCAAAATCAAGCTTCTTGATATCACGGCATATTTCTTGAACCATAATCTCGCTTTGCTCGGCTTTTGTTTTTATTTCACGGATTTTATATGTTAGTTCCTGTTTAGTCAAAACAACAAGTTAGAAAAGAAACAAGGGGAGAGCGGAGAAATTTCACGTTCTTTTCCAAGTTACTGATCAGAAGAGGCACAATTATTTTTAGTAATGCAACTGGAACCCTATTGAATCATTTGTAAGTAGAAAAAATTGATGCAAATAACATGAAAGATTTCATCCATAGCATCTATAAAATTCAAACAAGCTAACCTCCACAGCATGTGTAGCAGCCGCAAGATCTTCCTTAGCTTTGGTTCCCGAATTACTCTGTAATCAAAATAGCGTGTCACCTTTTAAGATACATCAACTTTCTCAAATGGCAAACTGCAATATATCCTAATTGAAATGTTGGATAAATTCTCTTGACATTTGAATTTTACATGAGAGAGATGCAAAACCCATAAACAAACACCCTTCATAAAGGAATAAGAAAGATTTATAACCTGCTGGCGAACAGCAGCCAAAATTCCAGCATCAACACGGCGGATCTCGCTTTGTATCTTTTGCATTAGCGGCTCAACTCCAGATAAAGAAGCCTCTGAACAATAAACAATATATGCAGCATCAATTCCAGAACAAGATAAATTTTAATAAATTAAACAACTCGCATAACTTCGAGATCATATCTAAGGCTTTAATTATTGCAAATCCTGTTGAAATTTAACTGTGTTTAGATTTTCAATAATCCTTTTTATCACTTACCTGTGGGGAACATCTGGTTGATGTACTCTAGAGTACTCATTTTGTCCATTGATTCAAAAATCCCGATCCTATCGACCTGGAAGCCATAGAAACAGTTTAAACCCAAGCTTAAAAGATGGATCCAACAAAGAAAGAAAGAAAAAGAAAAACAACAAAAGCAAGCACGAGCTATATGTTATTTTTTATCAATTTTTTCAAAAAAATTGAAGAATAAAAATAACATTACAAGAATCACAACAGTATGGAGGAAAAATAAAGTGAGCATATAAATTATAATGAAAATCAAAAACAAATTTCTAGATCAAGATTTGAATTGATAATGATCTATAAATCACTAATTCTTACTTAAAAATCAACAAAAAACAATCGCGTCATGAATTCAATACCTAAATGAAATTATGTAGAAAACATAGAAAATTGAAGGAAAGAGAAAATATTTCTTTCTCAGCACTGAAAATTTTATCGCCGATCCGCCGGAGTAATTGACGAAAGACTTTCTCGTTTGGTTAACTATGGGCTGGATTTTAAATATTTTTTGGGTTTCCCGTTGCGCGTTGGCCTGTTAATAAATTAAGTTTAGAGTTTATTGGTGCACCCAATACAATTAAGAGGGGGGAGTGGGGAGAGGAAAGAGGAGTGTTCATTTTGGGTTGGTCAGTTGCTTCTAGCCCATATCACTGCAATCAATGGTTGACCTTAAAATTGAAATCCCAAATTACAATACCTGAATATAAATTTTCACATTATAAAATTACCAAACCCAAATCTTCTAACCACCAATAAAAAATAGGATAATCTATGTATTTAGTATCTAAACTATCAATTTTAATCATTTTTAAATCTTAAACTTTTATTTTTTTCAAAATCATGCATAATGTTTAGTTTTCATTTCATTTTAGTACCCGTCGTTAAAAATCTAATGCATTTAGCACTTAAACTATCAATTTTAGTTTGTTTTAGTACCTAACTTTCAATATTTTCCCAAAATTTAACGTTAAATTTTGAACAATAGTACTAAATGAAACAAAAACTAAAGTTTTTAATAACGAGTTCTAAAATGGAACAAAAACTAAACTTTAGGTATGATTTTGAAAAACTTTGAAAGTTTAAGTACTAAAACGGATCAAAACTGATAATTTGGATACTAAACGTGTAATTTACCTTAAAAATATCATACTTATTGAAGAAAAAAGTTTCGACAATAAAAATAGGTTTTCGACGATAAATATTGGTTACTGATTATTGGTGATAAATCTATGAAATATATAAATTGTGTGACTCTTAATCAAATAAAATTTTAAAATAATAATGTTTTTAAATAAAAATAATGATTTAATTATATTCGTATTGAAATTAAGACTATACTTTAATAAAGGATTAATGCCAATAGGGCATTAGAATTTTTTTGGGGTAAAACTGAAACACCTAGACTAGCTAGAATCTGTGCAATCCTTGTTCAGGATAGCATATAAGTCCTCTGATGCATCTGCATATTGTGTTATCCCAATAGGTGAGTCACAGGCCACAGCAACAAGTCGATGAGCGGCGGTGTTTTGTTCACGCTGAATGTGCCTAATTGTTGTATCCTAGTTTCGATCCCGTAGAAGATAAATAGCCTCGACCAAAGCATGGCCAAGTAAAGCGTCAGACGAATGGTTCCGAATCCTCGTAACTGCTGCCAGAGCATCGTCAAAAATCACAGGCATCGCCGGAGAAGAAGAAAGAAACGCAAAAATCAGGAACGACCCACAACTCCAGATACCATGTTGACTTTTCTTTTAACACTTGCACGTCTAGGGTCTAGGGTCTAGGGTCTAGGGTCTAGGGTCTAGGGGCTAGGGCTAGGGCTAGGGTCTAGGGTCTAGGGTCTAGGGTCTAGGGTTAGGGGTTAGGGGTTAGGGTCTAGGGTCTAGGGTCTAGGGTTTAGGGGTCTGGGGTCAGGGCTCAGGGCTCAGGGCTCAGGGCTCTGAAATGTATTCATTATTCACAATTACAAAGTATAACTCTAACTCTGAAATGTTCCCTTTATAATACTGAAAGCAATGACAAAGAAGGGTGGGTAGAAGGATAGACAACATGAAATAAGGTCAAATTTTGGCCATGAAGTATGAAAGGAAAACAAGTTAAAAATTAGAGCTTTCCAAGTAAGAACCCAGAAAACCAAATGCCCAAAACGATCACAGAAGAAGAAATAAAAGGAAATACAAAATCATCGCCTTCATCTGTTCCAACACTGTCTTCTTCAGCAGATTCTTCACTCAGAAACACAGCCTGAGATTTCCCATATTCTGCAGGAATTCGAAGAGTTACATGTCGAAAAAAAATAAAGTTCTATGGAATATTTATCATCAAAGTAAGGAGTTTAAACAAAACAGGGATTTTAGTTGATTCCAGGCTCGGCCTAGGAATTCATTTACTGAAAGGGCCGGTTTCAACATACTATGGGGCAGCACAGCAGTAAGTTCCGAGCAAAAATACCCCTAAGGGCTCAGGGCCCAGGGCCTGGGTTCAGGGTCCAGGGTCCAGGGTCCAGGGTCCAGGGTCCAGGGTCCAGGGTCCAGGGTCCAGGGTCCAGGGTCCAGGGTCCAGGGTCCAGGGTCCAGGGTCCAGGGTCCAGGGTCCAGGGTCCAGGGTCTACGGTCCAGGGTCTAGGGTCTAGGGTCTAGGGTCTACGGTCTACGGTCTAGGGTCTAGGGTCTAGGGTCTAGGGTCTAGGGTCTAGGGTCTAGGGTCTAGGGTCTAGGGTCTAGGGTCTAGGGTCTAGGGTCTAGGGTCTAGGGTCTAGGGTCTAGGGTCTAGGGTCTAGGGTCTAGGGTCTAGGGTCTAGGGTCTAGGGTCTAGGGTCTAGGGTCTAGGGTCTAGGGTCTAGGGTCTAGGGTCTAGGGTCTAGGGTCTAGGGTCTAGGGTTAGGGGTTAGGGTCTAGGGTCTAGGGTCTAGGGTTTAGGGGTCTGGGGTCAGGGCTCAGGGCTCAGGGCTCAGGGCTCAGGGCTCTGAAATGTATTCATTATTCACAATTACAAAGTATAACTCTAACTCTGAAATGTTCCCTTTATAATACTGAAAGCAATGACAAAGAAGGGTGGGTAGAAGGATAGACAACATGAAATAAGGTCAAATTTTGGCCATGAAGTATGAAAGGAAAACAAGTTAAAAATTAGAGCTTTCCAAGTAAGAACCCAGAAAACCAAATGCCCAAAACGATCACAGAAGAAGAAATAAAAGGAAATACAAAATCATCGCCTTCATCTGTTCCAACACTGTCTTCTTCAGCAGATTCTTCACTCAGAAACACAGCCTGAGATTTCCCATATTCTGCAGGAATTCGAAGAGTTACATGTCGAAAAAAAATAAAGTTCTATGGAATATTTATCATCAAAGTAAGGAGTTTAAACAAAACAGGGATTTTAGTTGTTTCCAGGCTCGGCCTAGGAATTCATTTACTGAAAGGGCCGGTTTCAACATACTATGGGGCAGCACAGCAGTAAGTTCCGAGCAAAAATACCCATCGGGGTTCGGGTTCGGGGTTCGGGGTTCGGGGTTCGGGGTTCGAGGTTCGGGGTTCGGGGTTCGGGGTTTAGGGTTTAGGGTTTAGGGTTTAGGGTTTAGGGTTTAGGGTTTAGGGTTTAGGGTTTAGGGTTTAGGGTTTAGGGTTTAGGGTTTAGGGTTTAGGGTTTAGGGTTTAGGGTTTAGGGTTTAGGGTTTAGGGTTTAGGGTTTAGGGTTTAGGGGTTAGGGGTTAGGGTTAGGGGTAAGGGGTAAGGCTCGGGCTCGGGGCTCGGGGCTCGGGGCTCGGGGCTCGGGCTCGGGCTCGGGGCTCGGGGCTCGGGCTCGGGGCTCGGGGCTCGGGGCTCGGGCGGGCTCGGGGCTCGGGCTCGGGGCTCGGGGCTCGGGCTCGGGGGGGGCTCGGGCTCGGGGCTCGGGCTCGGGCTCGGGCTCGGGCTCAGGGCTCAGGGCTCAGGGCTCAGGGCTCAGGGCTCAGGCTCAGGGCTCAGGGCTCAGGGCTCAGGGCTCAGGGCTCAGGGCTCAGGGCTCAGGGCTCAGGGCTCAGGGCTCAGGGCTCAGGGCTCAGGGCTCAGGGCTCAGGGCTCAGGGCTCAGGGCTCAGGGCTCAGGGCTCAGGGCTCAGGGCTCAGGGCTCAGGGCTCAGGGCTCAGGGCTCAGGGCTCAGGGCTCAGGGCTCAGGGCTCAGGGCTCAGGGCTCAGGGCTCAGGGCTCAGGGCTCAGGGCTCAGGGCTCAGGGCTCAGGGCTCAGGGCTCAGGGCTCAGGGCTCAGGGCTCAGGGCTCAGGGCTCAGGGCTCAGGGCTCAGGGCTCAGGGCTCAGGGCTCAGGGCTCAGGGCTCAGGGCTCAGGGCTCAGGGCTCAGGGCTCAGGGCTCAGGGCTCAGGGCTCAGGGCTCAGGCTCAGGGCTCAGGGCTCAGGGCTCAGGGCTCAGGGCTCAGGCTCAGGGCTCAGGGCTCAGGGCTCAGGGCTCAGGGCTCAGGGCTCAGGGCTCAGGGCTCAGGGCTCAGGGCTCAGGGCTCAGGGCTCAGGGCTCAGGGCTCAGGGCTCAGGGCTCAGGGCTCAGGGCTCAGGGCTCAGGGCTCAGGGCTCAGGGCTCAGGGCTCAGGGCTCAGGGCTCAGGGCTCAGGGCTCAGGGCTCAGGGCTCAGCTTATTAAACTCACATTCGTACTCATATACAGAGCGGCTCATCTGCTTCAAATTCATAAACTCCTGCTTCATTTGTCGGACAAACTGATCTCCAATATACTTGTTTTTAAATTCTTCTAAAAACAAAGACCAAGTCAACTGGTCGGTTGACATCCTCATGGTGACGTTCGTCCACCATATCCTCGCCTGACCCCTCAATAAAGATACAACTCCATCTAATTTCTCCACTTCGGAACAGTGGAGACCATCTAACATGATTTTCAAATCATTCAACCAAAGATCCGCTGACACTGGACCTTCCTCAGCTTCTCCCTTAAATTTGGGAGCTCCTAAACCTCTCAACTCTTTTTCTACATTAATTCTTTGAGTTAGTGGAGCAGGAGGTTGAAGACGCGTCAGAATAGCGTCTAACGTTCTGAAGAACATATCTTGATCTTGCACAGGCACTCCTTGAGATGCATGTTCTTCACCTTGCCTGGCCAGGGCAGGTGAATTACTGCTTTCAGCATGCCTATCTTCTCCCGCTTCACTTCGGGAGCTATTATGTCCGGACATCTAATAAGAATAAACACATTGTTCTATTAGCAAAACATCATACTCATACTATACCAGATCAGAAGTTCTCACTATTTGTTGGCATGTATTCCATTTAAAGACTCTATAGACTCTGGTTTATGCCTAGAATCGGCTAAACCATAGCTCTGATACCATTAAATGTAACACCCCCAACACGTACCCGACCCGGATACGAGTCAGAGATACTACATTGACTTTAAAATACAACTCTTGACAAATAATAGCAAAATATTTGAACTTATATTAAGAAAATACAATAATATACATATTGTAATATAAGTTTATCAAAATGTTCAGAGCATACACAACTTAACCCTTTAATTACATGCCAACTGCCATTTACATAACAAAATGACCTACTGATTAAGTTGCTTCTGATCTGGTGGTTGCAGGAGTAATGCTGTCAAGCTGCTTCACCTGTCTCGTCTATTTTCTCGGATCCTACGTGTGAAACACTCACACGCTAAGTCATCGACTTAGTGAGGCAATAATAATAACAAGGCAATGTAATGAAAATGTCATGATCATATGAGATGAGATGTAAACATGTACTTAATCAATGTAGTATACATCATCAATATCCATACCTGTAAGCGTATGACTGTAACATTCATGAATCTGTATTAATAAGTTTATTGGCCCATGATAGCATATTGAGAACCTAAGGTATCTGAGTAATGTGAGGTTGTGCACTATGCTGTCACCACAGCTCGTATAATTGCACCGAAGTGCCGCGTAGAATTGCACCGTAGTGCCATATAATGATGTCCATAAGGACCACATATAATTCCTTAAGAATCATATACATATACTAGGGATCAAGTATGTGTCTTTCCAAGACTTCACACATGTTCCACAGAATATATATATATCCCGAAGAACCGCGTAGAATTGCACCGTAGTGCCATATAATGATGTCCATAAGGACCACATAGAATTCCTTAAGAATCATATACATATACTAAGGATCAAGTATGTGTCTTTCAAGACCTCACACATGTTCCAAAGAATATACATATGTCCCGAAGGACCGCGTAGACCCTCTACCCTTAGCATGCCAACTATACCTATAGTTCTCATCTACATAACATGGGCTTTTACATTTCACGTAGTCTATATCGCGTAGACATGTAATTTCTTACCTTTTCACATAGCTCATAACTTTTCCCATATATTCATGTCATATAATGCATTTTATATGAACTCATGTCATGTCTCATAATACAGAATATGCTCATGTACCAAGATATAAAATCTAGACTTATCACAAGTCTAGAATGAAGTATATTTCTATAATCATGCTATGCATATGCACTCACCTATACTTCTTTGCCTTTTCCTCGGTCGATCCTACTTGTAGATTGTTCCCGAACTCGTGTAGGCTCGGTATCTATATAAACATAATTTTCAAGATGATCATCAGATGTCTATGTCTTGAATTTAAGCTTTAATAGCTTCCTAATTTAAGAAATTAATAGCTTAGTCTTTCTTTCTTTTCTTCTTTTTTTTTCTCATGGGGGAATCGGTTCCCCCCTGGGGGTATCGATTCCCCTCCAGCATTCTGGAAATTCATATTCGTTGAGGGGGTATCGGTTCCCCTTGAATGGGTACCGATTCCCCTAACCCGAAAATCCTATTTTGAGCTCGAAAATCCTTTCCTTTCAGCTCAAATATACATATTTCACTCCCTTTAATACTCTTAGCTCTCATACACTTACTTAAACTAATTATTATCCATTCCATACCTCTAAAGCTAAAGAAACTAATCATCCATATAGAATTGAAGAATCTTACTCAAATTCCAACTTGTTCTAATTTCAATTCTATTACCTCATACTTCTTAATTAACTTATTGACAAGTCAAAAATCTTATTCAAACTTCAAAAACTCATCCATATCAAAATTCCATCTAAAAACTCATTTCCCAAATCTATCTCTAAAACACTTATCTTGTTGTTTTAATGTCATATAAGCTTTCCTTTAGCTTATATAACATCCAAACTTTCATTTCCAATCTTAAAAATCAAAGAAACTACCAAGGTTCAGATTCTTACCTTTACTTGCAAGCTCCACGTTTGGAGAAGGAAAAGAAGAAGATAAGAAAGAAGGAAGAAGAAATGAGAGAATTCTGGAAACCTAATGCTCCACGTGGGTTCTAATATATCCCATAACATTTTTTTAATTATAATTTTCTTCCTTACAAATGACCATTTGGTCCTTACATCCATTTCATATTTACTAACCATTCTTTTTAAACTATATAATTATTCTACTTCAATCACCAAATGTTGAAACTTTGCAAATTAATCACTAACCCGACATGGAGGATGTTACAACCAACCCCAGGTAAAGCAGGATGGGGATGATAGAATTTGCAAGCAACTCCAAATTTACA